TTACGTATAAACTGGGTAAACTAAAGAATTCTCACATTCAGTGTCAGCATGGCAGCTTCTATGGGAAATATTTTAAAATCATGCTACAGAAATGCAGTATTTGCATTGTACACCTCTTATTAAAGTATCACTTCATCAACTGAAAACAGTATCAGAACTTTATGAAGACAGGCTGAGAAAGTTGGAGCTGTTCAGCCTGGAGAAGAGAAGGCTGCATGGAGACCTCATAGCAGCCTTCCAGTATCTGAAGGGGGCCTATAAGGATGCTGGGGAGGGACTCTTCATTAGGAACTGTAGTGATAGGACAAGGGTAACAGGTTAAAACAGGGGAAGTTTAGATTGGATACAAGGAGGAAGTTCTTTACTGTGAGGGTGCTGAGGCACTGGAATGGGTTGCCCAAGGAGGTTGTGAATGCTCCATTGCTGGCGGTGTTCAAGCCCAGGCTGGATAGAGCCTTGGATGACATGGTGTAGTGTTAGGTGTCCCTGTCCATGGCAGGGGGGTTGGAACTTGATGATCTTAAGGTCCTTTCCAACCCTAACTGTTCCATGATTCTGTTTCCCTTTCTTAATACCAAGGCAGGGAGAAAGGCAATACTTCAAGTAGTGGCAGTACAAGTCAGTAAGGTCATTGATGGGCCTTCAACACTGAAGTTTCATTTTGGTTTCTATATTATATTTTAGATCCAACTTCTGATTAGTCTTTGAACTAGTCAATCAAGAATACATACAGCTATACAATATATCAACACCTATCACTGTTGGTCCACCATTAAGCGGAACCTGTGTCCTATGGAAGAACTACAGACAGTAGTTAAAGATGGATGAATATCCGTATTAACTATTTACTATTAGATTGTTTCACATTAACTATTTACTATTAGATTGTTTCTAAAGGCATGTCACTATTTTTTCTACATACACTGAAAACAGATTCACAGATGATTATGCTGAAATCCTAACCTACTCTAACTGAAAATACAATTTAAACGGTCACCATCTTTTATACTCCAGCAAGTAAGAAAGAACACCATCTTTCCAATCCTAGAAAAGGAATAGTACACAATTTACGTTGTATTCACCTTCAGACTTGTATACTTGATGTTCAGACTTCAGAAAACTTATAAGTGAGCTGATTTAAATGCTGGGTTGGAAAATGCATTACTTCAGTGGGAGGGGAGGTGTGTTGCGGCATCTTTTGTGTATCAGCAAAATACATTAAAACAGTAGAAAGACTGCTTCTATTAGTCTTCAGCATAATTCAGAGCAAGAAGACTGTCAACATTGAAGCTGACTTGAAATAGGGTTTGTTTGATGAAAAAAATACATAAAAATTGCATAATTCTTGTAAGTAATGCCTCATCTTCTCGCAAAAAGGAAAAATTAAGTGAAAAAATTGAACTTTGCAGCACTTACTTCTTTGAAATTTCAGGTAGGAAATAAAGACTGTTGTCTACTTTAAGCCTTTATAATTCTGTATCTCCAGATCTTACCTTTCCACATGCTCTAAAGTGTTCCCTTGAAACACCTGACTACATCAAGATAACATCCCCCTTTTTTCTTCCTGTGAACTGACAGCTTGCTCTTTTACTATGAGGAAGGCTCCTGATCCACCTGAGGATCTGCAACTACAGAAACAAATTCAGTGCCCTCATAGCAGTTAAGGGGCTAGGAGCTCTGTCAAATGAATCACCCTTGCTTGGTAAACCTTAGTCAGGGAGCAGCAAAAGAGGCAAGTGGTAAGCATGGAGCACTCTCATCTTTTGCCTGACTCATCACCTAAGATGGGCTACTGCTTGCTAAGGGTTTGAATTCACGGCATTGTTGAAAACCTGGCAAAGCTTGTCCAGTCCTCAGGCTATTACTACTTCTGCTCTTCCACGCTGGCACCAGCTATGCACCTAGGGAGACCTGGAAATTACCAAGTGTTGATTACATGGCTCTGGAAACTGAGGTCAAGGGCCAAGTGGTGTTTGCCTCAGTAACACCAGTTAGCAGGAAGGACTTGAGAAAAGGACATACCCTGCAGGCCAACAACCAGCTACGAACTGATGTTGGCAGCCAGATTTTGGTACCCATGACCATAGAACCCTCTTTGAAAACTGAGGAATGCTTGGAAGATATGAGATTCACTTGACTATGATGGGCAGAATCATATTTGCCAACAGGCTGGTGCACCTGTGAAGAAGTTTTAAACAAGGAACAACAGAGGAGGGAAAATACAACCAAACATAGAATCATAAAATAGTTAGGGTTGGAAAGGACCTTAAGATCATCAAGTTCCAACCCCCCTGCAGGGACACCTCGCTCTAAACCATATCACCCAAGGCCTCGTCCAACCTGGCCTTGAACACTGCCAGCAATGGAGCATTCACAACCTCCTTGGGCAACTTATTCCAGTGCCTCACCACCCTAACAGGAAAGAATTTCCTCCTTATATCCAACCTAAACTTCCCCTGTTTAAGTTTTAACCCATTACCCCTTGTCCTATCACTACAGTCCCTAATGAAGAGTCCATCCCCAGCATCCCTATAGGCCCCCTTCAGATACTGGAAGGCTGAAATAGTGGACTTTGTTGTCAAGTGTGGGACGATGTGAACAAGAGATACCATACAGTCAACAAAAGAGGGCTGAAATGGGGTCATCCCAAGCATATGCACATAAACGAGGAAAGGCCTACAGAAAAACATCACAGGGAAAGCTCTCATTCTGGGGGATCAGAAAGATTGGATATATAAAGTGCCTGTGCACTTAATGCACGTAGCATAGAGAACAAACAGGAGGAAGCAAAGCTCTGTGTATAGTTACAAAGCCACAGGAAAACATGGTAGAATGGTGCACATGACAAGGCTGCCGCCATGAATGAACACAGGCTCTTTAGGAAGAACAAACTGGGAAGGTAGTGACCAGGAGACACTTTCAAGTGAGACAACAGCAGGAATGCATGTGCTCTGCCTTGGGAGAGATGATGAACCAGCTGAGACATTATGGTCAGGATGACCAGGCAAACCAACATAAATTACATAGTTATAGGTGCCAGATACAGACTACCTGGTCAGGATAACATCATCATGGACAAACTGATAAAGCATAGCCTGTTTAAATGGACAGTGAGGTGGGCTAAACTGCCAGGCTCAAAGGGTTACAAGAAACAGCATAAAGTCCAGTACACCAGCAGCATACCCAAAGGCTCAATACTATTAAACGTCTTTGGTTGTGACCTAGGCGATGGAACAGAGTGCAAGTTTTCAGGCAACACAAAACTGGAAGGAGTCTATGATACACCTGATAGTTGTACTGCTATTTGAAAAAACCCTGACAGGCTGGAGAAGTGGGCTGACAGCCCATGAACCTTATACATTTCAGCAAAAGTAAGTGCAAGTTCCCCGAATCAGTATATACTGTGGTCCAACTGGCTGGAAAGCAGCTTTGCAGAGAAACCCTTGGTATAAACCATGATGAACACATTCCAGTGATGTGCCTTGTGGCAAAGAAGGCTAACCACATCCTGGACTGCATTGGAAAGAGCGCTGCCAGCAGGCCAAGCAAGGTGAGACCAGAACTCAACTATTCTATGATTCTAACTCAACTCTGGTGAGACCAAATCCAAAATGTTGCTCCCCAGTATGTGGGAGACCTAGACATATAAGGAAACTCAGCAAAGGTTAATTAAGATGATTAACAGGTTAGAGCATCTGTCATACAAGGTGAAGCTGAGCAAGCTGTGTCTGTTCAGCCTGGAGAAGGCTCAGTAGGATCTTGCCAATCCTGTATATAAATACATGAAAGTCCCCCTTCTTCTTTATACCCTTACATAACCCTCTCAGTGATGTCCAGTGAACAAACAAGAGGCAAAAGGCCCCAAAAAACAGAAGGCCTAACTGAATATAAAGAAAAACATGCCCCCAGCTTTTTTTCTTGGGAGGTGGAGGCCATGGTGGGTTGTGGTGGTGGTTTTTGGTTTTGTTTTAAAACTGTGATGGCAGTTAGTATTGGAACAGGTAGCCACGAAAGGCTGTGAATTCTCCATCCTTCCATATACTCAGGATCTGACCGGGCACAATCCTGGGGCCACTTGATCTGGCAGACTCTGCTTTGAGCAGGTGAATTGAATCAAACACTCCAAAGGTGCTTTTCAACCTTAACTATTCCACAATTCTTTGATGCAAACCAGAATAACTCTAACAGAAAGCTGTTCATATTTATTCTGTACATGTCCAGTCTTCATTTTCAACAAATTACACAGAAAATATCATGTTGTTTAGGCTTTTTTTAATAGGTCTGCAGGAATTGGTATGCTCAGTTTGGACTGCTGACTTTGGTAAATGCTACTTGAGTTTCTAATGAATGACAAGAAGCTGTGTTTATGTGATAATAGGTAATTCTGCATACAGTTAATTTGAGGTGCATATCTGTAGTCCCCAGAAACATCCTGGATTACACTGAGATGTTTAACTAATACATTTTTTCCTATTTGATCTTAAAGTTCAAAAGAACAAAAACATTACCTAGTCTGACAGCTATTATTCTTTCATTCATTTTCAAGAACATAGTATCTTTGCAAACAACTGAATTTGACAGTTCAATTCTGTTTACCACGAAAGTCTTACTGCATGAAACTAATTCTAACGTTACTGATACACCGACTGCAGTTTCAAACAATGACCAGAGCCAACACCTTACCTTGCACTGGTTCCAACTTTTCAAAGAAGTTCACATTTGTAAGCTTAGTTTTAATCCATCTTACTTTCCAGTAAACTCACACTTGAATAAATATTTCCATAAAACCTTTTTTTTTTTTTGCATTTAATATAGTTATCTGAAAACTATAGAGAAAAAAAAATCATACCAGTCATGTTCCAGATTAAAGTACTGTCTAAGCATAGGAAAAGCCACATCTTTATGGAATACTAAGTTTAAATAAAAAGGTACTTAAATACAGTGATAATTATAGATAAAGCCCCCTGTGTATTTAATTCATTAAACAAACAATATCTTACATTTTTTGAAGAACCTGGGCCATCACAACCCCATTCGTTAAATCTTCCACGGTCTGGCATGGTGCCTCTACATTAAATGTCTGGATCTGTAGGAGAAAGGAAAAGGTTATCATCTTCTACTTCAATGTCAAAGGATTTTCAATAGTTACAAAAATAATAAAAAAAATGCCATCAAGTGCCTCCACATTTAGTGTACATGTTAGGAATTAAGAAGTTTTATATTTAATAGCAATCAAAAAAAGCACTATTGACAGGGCTTAGCATATTTGTTTTCACAAACTTGTGAATTTTGCTACAAATAACAGCAGTACATTTTCCAAGAGGCATATTCTCCACAGCATTTTCTAATTTGGAAAATAACTTCTCTCATTCAAACATCTGTAAGAACATATATTCAAGTACACTTTCTCGATGAACACACATAAGCTCAGCTTTTAGAAGTAACATGAAACTCTGAAAGGCTCCCCACAACTAGAAGATCAAATGCAGAGAGACACACATTCTCCAAACTTAACTATTCCCTACTACCGGGGGTAAAAGAAGAGCAGAATGCTTCTAAACCCTTACAGGTCTAAGCACTTCTAGTGTTATGAGTATTTCAAGGTGTTCTATTAACACAGTAAAAAATAGTAAGGTCTACATAATGGCAAGCCTCCGGTTTTCATATGGAAGCTAGGAATCAAAAAAGCTGCTATTCTGAAAAATGGTAAGGACCATAGGACCAAGCCATTTTATGACAGAATTACTTACAACTAGAGTTAGTTTATAACAAATTTCTCTCCATAGACTGCACATTGAACACACTAAGGTTAACTTTCTGAGGACCCCGTGTAATATTACTAGTTAACACAGGAGCAAGAATAATCTTTAAGAAAAAAAAAAAAAAACAACAAACCACCAATACACACAATTCTTGTCAGATTTCTGTTCATCAACTTGATTTCCATGTGTATATCAGAAACCCTCCCCCTACCATATCAACAAATGTACAAATATACAAGGCAAAGTTATTTTCTTCCTTCCTTCCTTGGTGTAGGGAAAAAAGCCTTCCTGCTTCAGCACAATCTTTTCAACTGGTCTAAGGTATTTCATTATTTACTTTTAACGAACATTATTTTTAAAGGATTTTAAAAGATCAATTTTGTAAAAATAGTTTTGATGACATGTCATTTGAAGGGTATCTGCAGACACAGTGGGAAAGCCAGGGCTTATTTGTAGGAAGTACTACTCATACGCACCAGAGAAAAGAAAGCCTAAAAGACAGCTTGCAGCTTCAGGCTACATAAATGTTAGATATCAACCACTTCTTTCCGAACATAGTGTAAAACCATGCTTTAGTGGCATTTGAAACACTAATGTTGGTCCAAGCCATTTTGCAATGAATGTCCTCTAGATATGTATTGTGCAATAAAAGACAATTCATGTGACAGTGGGAAATTTTGTAAGCCCTTTTCGGAGAAGGCTCTCAAAAAAAAAAAAAAAATCAAGCACAATATCCAGATTCTCGTAATACCTTCTGATTTTAGAAGAAACATGAAAGTCTATCACGGAATGTCACGTAAGCAAGCTAACAATGCCATTTAACATTAATTTGGAGAACAAGCACCTAGGTCGATGTTCCTTTCTTCCCTTTACTCTGGAAGAAAAAAACCTAGCAATGATGTCCATGAAGAGCCCCCCCAAAATGAGCTCTCAGATTTTGCTGATCAAGTTCAACAGTAAACATGCTGTCAACATTTTCAACTGTCATGAACGATATCCATGCTCCAAGAGTACAAGCACAAATTACTATGTGGCATACAAAACAGAGCAACTTCTACACTTCTGATTCAGTAGATTTTCCTATAGCTTGGTCTGAGCTACCCAGAAAACACAGCTCCTTGCTTCTCCAGAGAATCAAGAAGCCATCACACACTGCAGAGACACTAGGTGAAAGTCAGGTTGAGTGGCTGGGTTAGGGAATTAAAAAACAAGACCACACATGAAAACCACCACATAACAGGATATAACATCAAATTGCTATTTTGGAAGAAACTGAAGTTTACCTAGAGACTCTGAATTGTGGCAATACTTTTGATGGAATACAAAGACAATTCTGAGTCTGAATCCACAAACTCAGTAATACATTAAACAGGAAATACTACTTTCTAGCAAAAAAAGCTGCAATAACATCATGGTTATCATTGAAGAAGTTCAAGATGTTATAAGGATAAAACCCTCAAGCACTGATAGTGAAAATTTGTTTCTAATTTTGCATATTGCACCTTTAAATAATGAAAATTTAAATCACTTTGCTGCACAACAGCCAAATCAAAAAGTCAAGTAAGGACTAATACCACTATGATTTTTCAAAAGTGGACAAAGTGAAATGCTCTTCTCAAATAAGCAATACCATCATCAATGAGGTTTTTATACAGAGTGCTAGTTTGCAGGTTTTAAAATTAATTTTGTATCTTTACACATGAAACACCTCCTGGACTAAATCAAAGTACATGCAGGAGATACAACTGCACCGACAGAAGATGAAAGGTTGTTAAGCCTGTTTTCACAATACAGAAAACCAAGATGCATCTCTGCTGTTCTGTACCTAATTTTATCACCATACTTCCCCAATATTTTATACACAAAAAAGTCTAATCTGTCACTGAGATTCATGTAATGAGACTAAGTCTTCTTTTCTCCACATTCACACATGCAAGATTGCCCTTAAGGACAATAATGGTTTTCATAGGTAGATGACAAAGAACAGGAACAAAGACTAAAACTAGCCATCTGACTTGTTTCTTCGCATACATTTAAATTTTGTAATAAATGTCTTCACTTGCACAGAAAAGAAATACACAGCATAATATTTCAATTAAGGTGTCAAATTCATGACACAAAACATTTATTCAGCTCTCAAAACAAAGGAACCATATCATTTTCATATCCTTCACAGAAAGTAACAAACTTTCTTCTTTAAATAAATAAATAAATGTTTCTATATTTATGTCAAAGTGAAACTCCTATACCATTCTCATATATTTCTACAAAATGCTAAACCACTCTTAGAAACAATACAGTTCATTTTCCAGAAAGGGGAGGAATGATAAGAATCTAGCAAAGCAGAAGCAGAGTCCAGCTATGGAGACAAAGAAACAAGTATTTTTGTGTGTGTGCTTCTAAACAGCTATTTAGTAACAGCTGTTAAAACAATGCTCTTTCTGTGCAATGTGACGTGTTTCCTCCTGGAAGGCTTCTCTCTCATCCTGCTGCAACTGCTCCTAATTTTTACGTGTTTGCAATATGGCCCCCATTGTTAGTTCCCAAAGCTGTAACTTAATTGCAGTTCCCCTCTATTTTTTTTTTCTCTTTTTCCTTTCTGTATCACAATATGAAGCCTTTAGATCATGCCTGAGTGATCGTAGCCCATTCAGTGGGACCTAGGCAAGCTTGTGAAGTGGGCTCATGTGAACTCCATAAGGTTCAACAACGCCAAGTCCAAGGGCCTGAACATGGAATGGGAACAAATACAGTACAAATACAGGCTAGGGATGAAGGAATTGAGAGCAGCCCTGTGGAGAAGGACTTGGGGGTACTGGCAGATGAAAAGCTAGACATGACTCATCAGTGTGCACTCGCAGCCCAGAAAGCCAACCATATGCTGGGCTGCATCAAAAGGACTGTGACCAGCAGGTCAATGGAGGTGATCTTACCACTTCACTCTGCTCTTGTGAGACCCACCTGGAGTCCTTTGTGCCGTTCTAGTGTCCTGAGCACAGGAAAGACATGGACCTGTTGAAGAGGGTCCAGAGAAAGACCACAAGAACGACAGAGAATCTAGCATCCCATGAAGCCGCAAGAAAACAAAACAACAAAACCCAAGCCAACCAAATGAAAAAAAACCAAACAAAAAACAAAACAAAACAAAACAAAACAACAAACCACCACACACCACCACCACGAACATCCAACCACCTCCCCTGCCGAAGACAAAGAAAGGTCTCCAGCACCTTCCCCTTCTCAACACTAAGAGCCAAAGACAGACCTTCTCTTTGTACAGTGATTATATATATAGCTTGTTTTTTATTGCTCTTGTAGTTGAATATCAGACCTTTTATGTATTCCTTGTAATAATACCCGAAATCTTTACTAGAGCTTCTTAGCAGATAAAACAGTGTGACTAGTTATCTTATGCGCAAACACAAAGGTAATTCCCAGCTTCCAATTAGTTATCTATTAGAGCAAAGTAATCCCTAACCTATAAATGATCCTTTATACTTATTTACATATTATTTCCCTACTTTTTTGGAACTGACTTTGCAAGCTTACAGCTAGGTGCCATGTAGAGTGCCTAAAATACTGCATCACCATCACTGTGTGAAACAGATCACACAGCTAAGATGAAGAAGCGGTTAAAAGGAATAAGAACAAGAAATGAACCAGCTTCACTGGGCTAGATGTTAATCGCTAATTAAGCCGTTATCCAAGAACAGTTGAAAGTGGCAGAGATTAGGGAGGGTTGGACACTTCTGCCCTCATATGTGCACAGAATATTACCTAGGAGATGCACAAAAATCCCACTAGAAGAGATTTCCCCCTGTATCAGTCCTGGAGGAAACCAGACCACTATTTATTTTATTTTTTTTTCAGGACGGTAGGTTAATTATGTGATACAGAAAGCTGTTCTTCCTCAGATGCCAAATTCTTGCATCGAGCCACATCTGATACAAGGAGAGTTGGGATTCCTATTCTATAACCAGATTCTGTGCTTGTGGACAACTTTAAGGTTTTTTCACCCATTTTTCTCCTTCCCTGTTGCTATCTTCTGCTTGGATAGTCATGCCATAAGCTGTTTTTTCATGCTTTCCAACACAGCAGCAGAATGTATCAAACAAACAAAGGGGATCCAGGCTCTCCAACGAGCACAACAGTTTTGTTCCAGGATTTGAACTCTGGGATGTTTTCACTGGATTTTAAGTTGTCAATCTTTTCTAATTAAAGTCTCAAGAGTTAGTCTGCAATGCAGCTGTAACGTTAAGTACTCAATTATCAAAAATAATGAAAGGGCAAACTCTTGCTGGATAGGGTGGCGATTCATTCAGGG